TACTGAGGCAGTACAGAAACCCACTTCTCTGCCACGTGCACATAATTAATTCTTGCCTAGGGCTTGGATTAGGGGTTGCCATGGTCTTGCTGGCATACCTGGAAATGCCTCATGCACAGGTGTAGGAGCAAAATCTTCAAATAAGCACAAGCAGGAAAAAAAATAAAATCCTAATTATTTTTCAGGCAAGAAATAGAAGCAACATCATCTTCTGAAAGAAAGAAGATCCACCAGCAAACTTCACCAAAGTCGTCATTGCACTGGACATACTCAGCGCTGCTTGAAATACAAACCTGTCAAATGTTGGTGCAGAGAGTTGAGTCCAAGAACCTGATTTCCAGCTGCTGGTTTGAAAATGCTGACTCGCATCATGACAACCTCAAATGAATTCAGCTAGAGGGGGCAATGCCACCTGCAACGGTCTCTCACAAAACAGTAACTGAACAAATGACACAGTGGTCTCTTCTTTCAGTATTCTTCACCTGAGGTTTGAAATAAATGGAAGAATTAAATCTCACATGACTCTGCTTCCCAAACCCTGGGATGCATTCAAGGGCCTCTCTTGGAAGTGCATGAAATGCAGATGCACGGAGCAGCCATCGTGAACTCATCTTTTCAACAGAAAAAGCAAAGAGCTCCTGCAAAGCAAGTAATAACTAGTAAGGAGATGCTGCCTTCAACTTCCACTGCTGTTGTGGGCAAGCCTCTCACACACCTCACCTGCTCTCTCAGCTGTTAAAGAGAAACTTTATGTGGTGGTGAAGTCTGCAGGTGAAAGCCACCTCTCCAAGCAGAAAGGATCTAGCTGGGGTAGGAACTTTGGTGACAAGCCCACCACTGCTGCCTTTGGGACAGGTACTCCAGCAAGCCTACCCCATTGAACAGCACAGGCAGACACTGCCCCGCTGCCCCGGGTGCTCCGCGAAATCTCTGGCTCCCCAGGCAGCCCAGCCCTGCCTCTCCTGCGGTGCAGAGCCCTGGTGCTGGCCTGACTGCAAGGCCTGTAAGAAGAAACTCGCTTTTAGCAGCATTTAATTCTGGAGAAGACTGCCTCATAGGCTCCCCACCAGCCTGGTGGACACAGAGGGCCTGGGGGACTGGTCCCTGCTGCAGGACCGCACCTGAATTTTCTGCTGAACAGTTACCAGATAAAGAAGTGACAGTGTGAGCAGGGACCAGAACCCCTGCCACTGTCCTTTCCAAGTTCCCCAAGCACCAGTCCCCAGAGCCACATTCCCCTCCTCCAGAAATCTCCCATTTCTGCCACATAACAGAAGACGAAAGAGTAAGGAGCAGCCAATGCCCAAAAGTGCCTCCAGTCTCACGGACAGGAGACCTGCAAGGACGAGGATCTTCTGCTGTCAGGGCAAGTGCTCCAGTGGATTTTCTATACAGGTAACATCATCCAACTACACCTCCCACAAAAGGAGACCCCAGTTTCTCTTTCAGGAAAGCCGAGTATTTACCCTTTCATTTTCCTGTTGGCTAGTGCCTAGCCCGTGAAGAAACAATCTCTCTCCCCTACATCTAGTCAAAAATGCATTCAGAGGAGGACCAGCCATCAAACAAGTCTGTCACCAGGCAAAGGCTGGACTGGACATGCAGTAAAACCAATTAAACATGCCCTAAGTTTGGATCAGGTTTCAGAACTAAACCTTCGCTCAGCGGCCCGTGCTGCACCAGCTCCAGCAAGCTTCTTCCCAGAGTGCGGCACACCACGACATGGCTGCAAAGGACGCGTGCGAATTTGAAGAAGGGGTACTAGAAGCCGTTACAGTAAGTTTGAGTATGTAATTTTAATATTTGTTTTTTAACACAGAAAAATAAACACATTTAAAACAAAGTGCTTTTTTTGGGCACTGAGCTCAGCCAGTCCCACAGAAATCTCTTTTTATGTCAGCATTAACTACTGAGAGGGTTAGGAGAAGCAATCCAGCTACCACAGACTTCTTCCTTCTCCTCGCTGTATTCCAAGACACAATGGGCACAGAAACATTTACTTCCCACTAAAGAGCCAATTATACAAACAGGTTCACTATAAATAAAATATTTTATACCCATACCTTTAGGTAAACAAATACACTGAAAGGTATTCCCTGCCTTTAGGTATGCATACATACCACATACCATGTGTGGTAATGGTTAGTGACTTACAGCAGTGACATGTTGGTAATTAAGTTGCAACATAAACTCAACATTAATTGCTATGTTAAAATATTTTAATTCTGAATGTGAGATCTGAGAACAATTTTATCTCACACAAAGGTATACAGCAACATGCATAAATAATACCCTTGAACAAAGATAACATTTAGCCTGTTATCAGAGAGGGTAAAAATTTGGAGTTACCTTCTTGGAGTCAAAAAATATGCAAGCACATATTCTATGTCTTTCTGTTCATTAGCATATATATTTTATATCTTTTACATATATATATACACACACACATTCTATATGACTGTACATACATTTCTATTAACTACTGTGATTGTGGTACATGGCTAAGTGATCATGACCTTTGAAAACACTCTAATTCTTCTAAGTATCTTCATTTGTGGGTTCGTTTTCTTCACTGTGTCCAGAGGTTCTGATGTCACACCCTGCTCCCTACTCTATTACCACTTTTTCTCCTCTCCAATCCCTTCCCAAAGGCTGAATTTAGAAATACGATAAATTCATTTTTAAATACAGGACAAGAGGCAATGGCTTTAAACTGAAAGAAGGTGGATTTTGATTAGCTCTAAAGAGGAAATTCTTCACTCTGAGGGTGGTGAAGCACTGGAACAGGCTGCCCAGAGAAGCTGCGGATGTCCCATCCCTGGAAGTGTTCAAGGCCAGGCTGAATGGGGCTTTGAGCAACCTGGTCCCTTCCAATCCAAACTATTCTATCATTCTATGAAAAAGCGGTAGAGGGGGAACTTCGTTTCCCCTTAACTTACAAGTGTTACACAAAAATGACCCAGGTAGGATCATCAGGTCAATGATAAAAATCTGCAGATAGTCAGGAGTAATACATAGTTCTGAAACAGATCCCTCCACTTCCTGCCTTCCTATTTATTTTTTAATAGCCAACAGTGATCCATGCAGCAATGGGGGAAGAAGCTGGCATAGAATTTCAGTTCTTTATTTGTGTGGTCAGCCGAGTATATTTAGCTTCCGAAGAGTTTTTAAAAGGAGAAAAACAGAAAATACAATATATATCCACAGTGTCATAATCATTAAAGCTCATAACATCATACAGCTGAATCGACACTGGAGTGGCTGAAGAGAGAAACTCTATATAAGGAACCAAGAGCTTACTATCACTGCAATGCATTAATCTGATCCAGATCAGGCAACACCCCTGTGCTTCCACTGGAAAGCCATCTCACTTAGAAATACAGGCAGCCAAATCTTAGAAAGGAAAGGCTGATATAGCGTGCTGGTTATTACAATGCTCACTCTCCTCACATGAATAGCTATCAGCTGTTAGGAGCCATCCTAGCATAGCTTCACGCTATCCTAGCACAAAGAAAGCTGGTCCTAACTGTGAATTTCTCAAAAACTTTCTTACTCAGAAATATAATTTCAACGTGTTGCTTTATTTTATCAACCTGTTCCATGCCTCTGTGCCTATTCATATAATTTCTACATGCTGCTTCCTGATATCAAAAGATTTTAAACCTAGCCAGGAAGCGGAGTCTATTCTCGTGTATTACAAGACATCATATTTCATCCATTTAACCTACCAGTGAGCCCAACTACTCCTCTGTGGGTGTCATGATCAGATAGGATATCAGTCTTGATTTTAAGGTATCAGAGGTCCAATTTTGTGCTTGTGACTAATCATCCTCACTGCTAAAAGCTCATGCCTCCCATCCATTCACTTTCCTAATTTCAGGATGTTGGTCTTTATCTGCCAGATATTGGAGATTATTAAAACCTTCTCCACTACATCAGAAGCACTTCCGTATCAAGTACTTTCTTCCTGTTGTTTATATCCCACAGTTATGTCCACCGTGGTGTCCCCTCTGTCCTTCACAGGTAAACTTGACAACCTTTAAAGCTGTGCAATACGTTCATCATATTTTACCAAGGAACCAGACAAATCTAGCTGAGAAGGTTGTCCTCTAGCTGTGCCACTTCTCAGTGGGATAAAAGTCCTTCCAGTATTCAGCAGCTGACTTGGGAGCTGCTCAACACAGGTTCTCTGGACCCCTAACGCCAGCATCAAACATAGCAATTACCACTTAAGTAGGATTTTACCCTTTCTACTCCCAATGTCTAACAAACCAAAACATTCTGCTCTACAATGCCATTTCCCAGTCCCACACAATTTCAGCAATCAGACCTTTACAGGCCATGAGAAATAATTCATTAAGGAACTCACAGTTATATGCAAAAAGAAAAAAAAAGTTAGCAGAGGCTGGCAAGGACAGGCTGCATGCAAACAGAATGCCAGAAGAGACCACATGGCCACCTCATTTCATTGCAAAAATCATTTTCCTCCCAAGGGAGCACGAAACCTACCAAATCAGAAGCTGCAACAACCTTGTAAAATCCCAGCTGATGGGAAACACCTGCTTTACATTGTGCACACACTAGTAACTTTTGAACTTATGCTCCTGCCCAGATGCGTGTGTCCTTGTTAAAAAAAGTAAGACCCTAAACCTAATTTACACAAGAACATAGGTCAAAAAGCTTCCTCTGTGCGTATCTACTTATTGCGCAAATTTTTGTGACAGAACTTCTCTCCCTTATCAGGGAAACACAAAGGAGAGCTATCAAGGGAAAGACAGAAGAAGGTGACAAGACAGCAAAGGTCATAAGGAGATATCTCAAAGCAGACAAAGAGAAGCTATCTAAAGCTTTAGATTGTATTTTTTCAGCCTTTTTTCCTAGCATCAGCATGTAAAAGTAAATTTCAACAAATCCTAGTAGCAGAGAATAAAAAAATCCAAATATTCGCAAATACATAAATAGCACTAAAAAGGTAATTTTTTGTCATAAGGTTTGGGTTTGGTTTGGGGTTTTTTCAGTATTGCAAGCACCTGTCTGTTAGCCATCTCTGATGACAACTCTTTCCAAGACAGCGTGCTGCTACACTGCTGATGCAGCATTCAGTTCGCGTCAGATTTCTTTCATGGTTGCAGCGAAGTGTCGCTTGCCATCTAAATACAACATGGACTCTGAAATAAGGTGGAGAAAAGAGAGAACCACATTAGTAACTTAGTATCAATACAGGAGGACTACACAGAATGGCAAGATTAAGGAGCAATCCACACTGTCATTGAAGCACAAAATAAATGAGGTTTGCCATTAAATCCTGCTAAATTATTCAAATGCCGATAGTTCACTTATTAAAACGATCAGCGTTCCAACAGAAAGAAAGCTGTCTTGTCGACAGAGTTATGATGACAATGCATTCATTGGATACTTGCCTCCATAAGTTTTGGGGACAACCCGTGGGACCTCATTTTCTGATACAAATGTAAAATGGAAGATATTGGTTGTCTGGTGCTGCCTGGTATCTGGATCATAAACCTCACTGTGTACCCGAACCTGGATGTAGTTTTTTTCCGTGTAACAGACCTACACAGTTAAGATAAGAGTTATAGTTCGTAATTTATCACTGACACTGAAAAACTGTAACAGACTTCATTGCACTGTTTCACAAGAAAAGTCACACACTCTCATAATGTACTGTTCGTTATCAGTGATTAACAGTGACTACAGCAAAGATAAGGTTTTTTCCCTTTCAAAAAGAAAACAACTCCTACCTGTCCAGAAAGCAGTAATAAGGATCCAACCTCAACTGGCCTCTGAAACATGATATCATCAACGGATACAATAAAAGGTCTGGAACCCCTGAGGAAGAAAAAGAGAAATTTCTTCTCAAGAATAACGAGAGTGTTTGGAAAAATTTAAAATATTTAATTGTCAGCATTTTAATGAAGGGTTACTAGAAAACAGATCTCTCTTTTAACACAGGCCACAAAGTGCTACAGAATTATGTCATCACCCAAGACAAAAATAACTGGAGGAAACCTCTCACATAAAAACACACACTCTCTAAGGATACATTACTGTATCTTGTGACTTACACTTGCTAGGCAATCTTCATGCTATCATTGCTTAAGCCTCAGCTTTCTAAGCACTGTCATAAAACACTTCACTTTCTATGAGTCATAAAACACTTCATTTTCTATGAGGCTGTGCATGCTCCATTAACCTTGTGCACAGATCTTTGCTGGGTGATGACCTCAGTCACACTTGGCACAAAGAGTTACTAGAAGAAGTTCAGAAACCGTTCCTCTTGTGTACGGAATGAAAAGATGTAATATTTATTTGACAGAATGTCTATTTTATATGGTTGGAAAGAAAATACATCTTCAAAAGTCAATCTCAATAACTTGCTAAGATAAAAGAAAACAGAAAACGGATGTATTTTCTATCTTGACATGTAATGCTTAAAAATCAAGCTCCAAGGAGCAAGATAAAAATCTCTTCATAAATACATGTTCTTAAGTAAAACAGTGCTGTGCCCTAATAGTGCAAGACTCTACTAGACACCTAGCTCTTTTCTGCTCAGATTGTCATTAGGTTGGTTAGCTTGGCTTCCCAACCTATGTATATACGCACAGTGCTCTGGATTATATAAATATTGCAGGTCTACAACTCACCCATAGCTGCAAGCAGTTGCCCATCCCAGTTCAAACGCCTTTCTCATGAGAAACCCCCCAAAGATCCTATTGAAGATGTTCCGTTCCTGTATGTAGAAACAAAAAATCGAACTACTGTATTACATACGTTCTTTTCAAGGCATTGTGTTGAAGTCTGCACTTCAGTTCACAGTGTTTAAAAGAACACCCAGCACCTGAATGTATAAAAAGTACTACTTAAATATACATGCAAAAGTCCAAATGGCTGAGGCCACTTTACTTAACAGGAGCTCATCTGACTCATTTGACAACATAAGATAAAAACTCAAAATTGTGTCAGCAACCAGAAGCCCAGCTTAAACACTTTGCAATCAAAAAACGTCTGGTAAGAAAACAAGGTAATTAAAATACTCCTACTTTGCAGTGGCAATCCATACAGATAATAGAAAAATGGCAAAAGAAACTAAGATCTAAATATACTGCAAAGACTGCAGAATCAAAACAAAATAATGGATTAAGCAGTCTTACAAGAGAATTCATTAGTAACTGTTTCTGTAATTCATTAATACTTTCCAAAATACCTGAGGATGGCAAATCTGTAGGCCTTTTAGCTTTGCATCTTCCATCCACACTGAATTGGGTGGTAGTTTGCGACTCCGGAAACTTACCATCCTTTGGAAGAGACAATAAACTTTATAGCTCACATTAGCAGAATTCAGCAAGTCAAAAACACACAAATGGCAAATGCAGAAACATACTTAAAAAAAAAAAAGCCAAACAAACCAAAACCGCCCCACCCAAACCAGAAATGCTATCGCTAAAAGCTGTTGCAACTGACCTTGAAGCCTTATCTAAAGTGATATTTTGATTTGTTACTGCAATAAGCCTACACTTCTGATCTTTCAAAAACTTTTGCTGATGTTCAAGCTTATGTGAATGAACAAACTTGAGACAGATACATGAAAGAAAAGCTAAATCACAATCACAAAGCACACACTTCGCCAGAAAAGCCTTACTCTGTTTTTTAAGTCATAACATGAATTCAAAGCACACAATGAGCTAACAGAGTAATTCAACATCAAACATGCAGATGGTTTGAGGTTTTCAAATCCAGACAGAGAGTCTACAAAATACATGTGCTAATTTTAAGGGAAGGCATGTCTCACTTTGGTAAACAGCTTTGAAAATAACAATTGTGTAAATTTGTTATTTACAGAAAAAAGAAATTATAAATTATCCACAAATACAACATTGCACTAATGTCATTAGGCATTGTTCTCTCACCATTGGCACTGGACAATTTTGCACAAATCCCAAGTATAAGAGAAGTACGCCAACACTAGTCTCCCTCAAATACTGTTTTCAGGTATCATATTATACATTGCATGATTACATGGTCAAAATATGGCCAATTCCTGCCCTCATAGTTTTTTTTCTAGGTATCATGGCAGAAAACTCTTAGATTGTGCAAGTCACATGGCTGCAAAACCATTCCATTCCCTTATTTGGTGAAAGATCATTAACACTTTTGCTCAAGATTACTCATAACAGCTTGCTGAGAAGCTCTCAATACTAACACTGTCACTTGCACTACAGCTAACACTCTTGAATGACAGAAGCCTCTTCTAAGAAGTGTAGATGTCATACTAAATTTTATAGCTGTGTTTCAAAGAAAACGCCCCAGAGTTTAAATCGTGAAATGGGAAAACAAAACGTCCATTTATTCCAGACTACCCTCTGATGAGCACCCACTCAAAAGGCACATTACTTTTCCCTCTCATAAGACTTCAGTTCTCCTCCACCCCTCCTCTTCTTACCTTGTGTCCAATGTATTAAGGAATATGTCATGAACGATGTTTCTTTCTTCTGCAGTGGGAGCCATTTTCAGTAAGGAGGCAGTGCTGAAATCAATTCTCTTCAGCTTGTTCACTAAATATTTAAAAAAAAAAATCATATTAGAGTTGAAAGAAAAAAAAAACACCACAAAACATTTGGCTTGGCTCTGGAGATTTTAACCTCAAATCAGCTGTCTCTTTCCTTTTTTCTTTTTCTCCCTGTAAGTTAAAAACTGTAACTTCACAGTCTCATGGATTCAAACAGAAATTTGGTTTTCAGAATTGACTGCATCAGAGAAAAATAAGGCAAAGATCACTGGTACCTCACCAATGTGACAAAGACCTTTTATACATATACTGTGACACTCACACACCCCTTCTACAGAAAACTTAAGTACTCCCCTCAAAGTACAGAAAAACATATCAAACAAGAAACCCTACAGAATAAACAATCTTCTTCAGGTTTTGCCAATGGTAGAAGAAGGCAAATTTATGACAGAACTCATTAACATAGGCTACAATGATTGAAATTTTAGCTTAAAAGAGCTTCTGTTCAGTTTATTGGGTCTTTAACATTTCTCTAATTCTCTGCTTTAAAATTCCAGCTAGAAACAAAAGAAGATGGAGCTACACACTCCTTCCCCTGCTCTCCCTCTTTCTTTTTCTGAGTTTCTTTCCAAAAGGAACATGGGCACCCAGACAGGTAAGGAGCTGTGATGCGCTCAGCAGACCCACCATGGGGGCAATCACTCAGCCAGAGCATTAGGGAAGCCCGTGCTGCACTCAGATCTGAGTGGAGTAAGCATCCTGGAAACAGGAAAGTCTAGGGAGGGTACAGAGCACATCAGGAGTGCCCTTGTCTGTCAGTTTAGCCACAGCATTTCCAAGAACGCGACAGCAGGCTTTTAAACTCTCTTACACAACTGACACGCACGAGACAGAACAGAAATCTGATTTTAAACAAATTATGAGCATTTCTAAGCAGCAGAACTTCTGAAGTCTACTTTCTTCCAGCTACTAAGTTGAACCTGAGTCAGATGTGCATACTACCAGGAAGAATGACATACATTCCCCTTGCTTGAAGATTTCTTCTTCCTCAGGGGTCTCAGGGACGAGTGGATTAACAAATGCTGGCCTACAGACAGGAATATTTTTAAGTTACAAACATAAGAATTTGTCCTGTGAATACATTATAACAGTTTTCCATGTTTGCTTACATACACGTTACAAGATAAAAAGACATACCCTTCAGGTTATGCAGCAACAGCCAAAAGAATATCATATTAGCTTAAATTCCAAAGTGATCCAGCCACTACCTAGTATAATTGAGAAAGCGTAAGCGATGCATCTATGCTTCTTAAAAAACTAAAACTGTATCCATAGATTATAATGAAGGTTATTCAAGCAGAAAGCTGCTTAGAAACTCGGGAAATGAAGATGTGATGATCTCAGATAGTCTAAAACAGACACACAAAACTTGAACAGTATCATTCCTCCTGGAATAGAAAGAGTATAGCGCTGTAGCTAGTAAGCCTTCTTAGAATCTACATGTTCCCATGACAGCCTTATCAACAGCCAAAAGCTGTTTACCACACGTACTACTTATCAAAGAAGATAATATGAGGCTGCCTTGAGTACAAATTTGTATGTTTATTTTACTAGACAAATAAGTTTAACCTAATTGTATAACTTTTAATTATTTCTTTTCGCAAGGCAAGGCAAACGCTTACTTTGAAGAGCCATTCTTCCCTGTAATTTCCAATAATTATTTTTCCAATTATTATTCTTGCGGAACAGTTCACCTCTACCTCAAGCCTTTACTTGAGTTGGTGACAAAAGGCATGCAGAGGGGACCGTTTTGCTTGGAACAAACTGCTCTTTCCTAGTTTGCTAAAGCTCTGGATTTTGGAGACACATCAGCTCCTTCTCCATCGCAGAGCTCATTACCCCTCTCCTCAGCTCTGGACACATCTACATCAGCTCTCCTGTCCAAGCCCCAAGTTGCTGAGATGCAAGTTTGCTATGGTCTAAAAGTCACACAACCACATTTCTGTGGCGCTACAACCAACCTAACATACCCTGTACCTCTCCGAAAAGTTTTTACCTCACACAGAGTAAACTCCCTGCTCATATGGACAGAATGCTTCCGAAACACAGCTGGCTTGTGGCCAGCTAGCTTGAAGACCAGCCACTGAAGCACACACAAGTCCACGTAGGCTTGTCCTTAGTCAATCTGCTAGCATATAATTACATCAGATTTGATGTAATTCTTTTGCAAAATAAGTCCTGAAAATGAGTACCATAAATATAAGTGTATATATAAAAATGTATAGTATGCTAATGGGTTCTGAAAATATCTCATAAATCTGAAGGTAAGCAACTTAATAATATTTTAAGTAGTTATCAAGACTAAATAAGCAAGCAAAATGTCAAGCAAAACCCCTTCATTAAACATATCACTCTTCATTAAATACAGGCAATTATTTAAAATAGTTAGAAACAGAAAATTGTTTATTACTTTTGCAGGCTATACAAGAAAGAGATAAAAAATACAACCATTTTTTTTCTAGTCCTGGAGTCATACAAGCTGCAACTGACACTAAGCAGCCTGTTAGTTTAATGACTAAGGAATTACAGAGAGAATGAAATCAGAAAAATAAGAAAGTTAATATTGTTTTAGTTCTGTGAGAACATTTATCAGTTCCATGTTACTCAATCAATTTTTAGGTTATTATTCTGATGACACCTACCACGCACCTATTAGAGAGTTATTAGCATTATTCACTCCAAGGCTATTTAAGCATTGAAACTCAATGCTTAAACTTAAAACTTTTCATTTTTTTTAAGACAATAAAGCAACTAATTCTGACAACTACTGTAGAATGCAGGTGAGTTTCTAGCCAACTCATTCACCTCTATGTTCATCAGGCCAGTCATTCAATCACAGGGAAAATCTGTTAAAGAAAAGGGTCAGATCCCAAGACTAACAGCAATTCTCAGCATCATCCGACTGCTGAAATCAATGCTCTGAAGCTTGCCCCAGGAAAGTAACACTTGCCAGCAGAAAACATGTGATTTATTCATGACCTACACTACACGGTTTCTACACATACATAGCAAGCTGCCATGTTCACTATTTTTACCATAGCAGGAGTCTGAAAACTGTTTTCCTATCCTATAAATTACCGTTTATTTTCTGGGTCCCGGGCCACCATGACAAAGGTTGCATCTAACACAGGGCTGTAATCACCATCATGTACCTAAGAGAGACAGGAAACAATTATATTTTTAAACTCAAAAATTGTAAATGTGCTTAGCAAGCTATTCAGTTGATATCAACTATGTGATCACACTGTTAACGTTGTTTACTTTCACTTCCTGTCATCCCTTCCAAGATCTCTCACAACTGGTCACAGAAGGAAATAACACAAATTAAAACTCCCAAGTTTCAGGAATTCTGCAATGTAAACAGTAAGCAGGGAATGCTTATTAACTACTAGTTTCAGCTGGGAGGCGAGAGGAAATCCGCACAGGTTTTGTAAAAGGACCTACTTACCCTTCATTCTGAGAAATGCCAAAACAACAATCTGTTGTCGAAATGAAATTGCTGCTAATGCCACCACTGGGAGGAGTTCAGACAATAAAGGTGTTACATCATCTTCTACATCAGAGACTTTACTTAAGGAGACAAACTGAATCAAAAAATATTTACCTGTCTATCTGAATTATAGCCAGTAATACTACTTAGGTGTTTATAGCATATCTTTGTTACTCTAAATAATTGAATTACTGAATTAATGTTTCCATTAAATAATCAACAGACAGTAAAAATTCAATAGAACATTTAGGAATTTTTCATTGAATTATTAATATTCATAGATTCATAGATTTCTAGGTTGGAAAAGACCTTAGAGATCATCGAGTCCCACCACCCCTAATCCCTAAACCATATCGCTAAGTAGATCATCCACCCTATTCTCAAACACATCCAGGGATGGGGACTCAACCACCTCCCTGGGCAGCCTATTCCAGTGGCTGACAACCCTTTCAGAGAAGAAATACTTCCTAACATCCAACCTGAATCTCCCCTGACTAAGCTTATACCCATTTCCTCTTGTTCTATCACCCAACACTAATGTAAAGAGCCCTTCCCCTACCTCCCCACCATCTTTTCTCAAGTATTTGTAGGCTGTAATCAGGTCTCCC